ACTCGCTCTCGCCTGACCGAAGGCGGGATGTCATTGGAAGATTTAGATAAGGGGGTGGGGGGCTAAAAAAATGAAATTAATCCATCTACCAAATGTACCAACAAAGGAGTTGGTTCTACAACGCCCGCGGAAAGAGAAGTGGTGGTACCAATTCTACACAGAAACCGTCACCACACGCCATTTTGAAAGTGTCCAGTCTACATAACGCACTCTTTGGTACAACATTATCAAAAGTTTTAAGATGCAGATACGGGATGATTCATAATATACGTCGTTTTTTGTTTAATGTGCGCGCCATTAGGCCGTGTCCTAGTGGCCGGTTTTAGGGGTCTGCCGGTGTCTTGGGGAAGCCTTTTAATCCTATTTATGTGTAACTTCTTTAATGGTAGTAGATTGTCTTGTTGGTTTAATGGGTACAAGTGACACTGGAGAATTAGAGGGTATAGGTTCGACTGGGTAATGTTTTCTGGTAGTTGTCATTGTAGGACTAGTAATTATGTCAAAAAAGTCAATATTACTTTACTTAACCGAATCGAACAAAACTTTTTAGATCTTTCGATTTATAAATTCTTAGTTCATTGGACTATAGTCATTCTCTACGTAACATGGTATGCCTTCAAGGCTTAATTTTTTATTTTTCTTTAGAATATCTTATAGCTTTGAACCTTGGTATTTTTAACTTATATTACCTGTATCTCTAATATTTCTATTATACCTTGGTTTACCCTTGCTTTATAATATACTAGCTTTTACCCGCGGCTTCGCTCGCGTCACAAAAGGATAAAAAGTAGCCTGTGTGACATATACCAATACATACAGCGCCATCTATACCAATACTTTTGTTTTCCCTCGGGAATATCAAAATTCTCCGGGATAAAAAGTACCCTATTATTTAATTCGGACTTCTAACTTTACGTTTGCAAAAATTCAAAGCAATTGGTATAGTAGTTACGGCGTGAAAGCGGAACAAACAAACAAACTCACTTTCCGATTTATAATATTAGTAAGGATTTTATTTTTTATTTTTTAGTTATGTTAGGTGTGTACTGCGCAAGAATAAATGGTTTTTCTTTCTTTCTTTCTTTCCATTATTGCCGTACTTTCTAAGCGGGTTGGAAGCCGCAGTATAAAATGTTCCGGTTTATCAGAGAGCGCTGCTGCACGGTCTCTGTCAAATGTGTAGTCCATTGTTCCTATAGGCTCCAGCTCTATGCAGGAGTAGGAATGGTTTAGTCAATAAGAGTCTGACACTCCCTCTCGCCTCAGCCAATACGAGAGAAGTAATTGGATCAAATACTTTACGGAACCCTTACAAATAAATCGTCTCGCTGCCTCCACAAATACTGCCACAATCGGGCATCGAACCGCTAAGTGGACATAGTGAAGTATATTACGGTCCGTCTATAAGGATATTACTACAGAACTTTATCGAAAACTGTATGTTTGTGCATCACCTCTGTATTACTAAACGACTGCGCTTAAAATATTCTTTACTTTATCTCAAAAATGTGAGTAAAGCATTTTAATTTCTTGATTTTGACTTTTGGCAAAAGGTTATTGGGTTTTTTTAGTTCTTGTGCATTGCTGAGGTCGAATAAGAGTTTATTTTTTAAGGTATAGGTCGGCAAACGAGCACTCGAGCAGACGGATACGGATCACCTGATGGTAAGCAATCGGCGTCGCCCATGGACACCTGAAACACCAAAGGAGTTACAAGTGCTTTTTAGGAATTAGAAGATTAAGGATTTGAGAACTGGGGAGAGGAAGAATTGAGCCTGCTCTAACCTTATATGGCTGCACACAACGCTGTGGTGATATCACTCCGGTGTACTGTGACACCGTGGTATCACTCCGGTCGAGCCGCGATACAGCAGTGCCGAAGTATGGCTCTCCCCCACTAAAACCACCCTTCAGGAAACAGTCTCTGGCAAGAAATTCCACTTATACATTCTGCAATCCCTACTTTTTTTTTAAGGTGCAGCTTTTTTACTGTGTCACAAAGAACAGAAGTCGGTTAAAACAAGATAATAATGTTTTGACAAGTTTGACAGATGTCAAATATTATTTTTAATACCAAGTGATTACGGTAGCAGAACTTGATGAATTAACAGATTAAATATATGGGTATTTCTATATATCAGGTAGCCTTTTAGTCCAGAAAGGGGTACACATAAGAGAATATGTGCAACTATCCTTTACCCGCGGCTTTTTTCTTGTTTTATCCTATGGGAGAATTATCGAGATAAGAAGTATCCTTTCACTAGGTGATTTAGGAGTCAGCCCTACATGTATACCAAATTTTATCAAAATCCGTTCAGTAGTTTCAGCGTTATTGACGGACAAACATCCAAACAAAGAAACTTTCACATTTGTAATATTAGTGTGACGTGCAGGAGAAGGAACGGGGTGGTTTTTAGTCAGTAAGAGTCTGACACTCCCTCCCGTCTCACTCAGGCGGGAGCAGTCATTCGATGATTTACCGCCATTAAAAAAAATGGTCGTAAATAGTCATAAAAAAATCACCCTTAAAAAATCTCCTCTAAGAGTTACTTAGCGTAAGCCAGCACTTAATTAACCTGTATTATTAAATGTCATGTATTTATAAATTGTTGAAAACAATAACGACGTTAAGTGACACCTATCTTAGCTTAGGAATTGCTTAAAATATAAGTATGGTTAGTGGAATTTATTTATTTATTTATTTTAGAAAATGTACCTAAACAACACCACAGCTTACGCCATTATGAGTGTATTGCTATTCATAAATCCGTAGAATTAATAAAAATACCCAATAGCATTGCGCGTGACCCGGGAATTGAACCCGACATACCTTTCTCAGAAGTGGACCACAACGGTAACTTATGTAGCTTCATCAGCACATTTCCGTTTGCAGTACCTTTTTTATAATTATTAATAAAACCACTGCCTCGTTGGCCGAGTGGTCGCAAGTGCGACTGCAGGGCAAGGGGTCTCGGGTTCGATTCTCGGGTCGGGCAGAGTATTACTGGGTATTTAAAAAATTCTCAGTAGTAGCACGGAGTCTGGAATTGGGCCCGGTATATGGCAATAGGCTCACCCCCTATTACATGGGACGCACAACATAAAGAGTGAAAAGTGAATGAATAATTTTGTTCATTTCATCATCAGACCCTTATTGACAATTGCACGCCACTCAGGTGTAAAGTCCTCATCAATACAAATTAATCAAACCCAAACACAAGGTACCTACTGTTAACCGTTGAGGAGTTCCCCCGACTGACTCTCGGCTCCATCATCAGATCGGCTCCAGACCTTTATCAGATTGTAGTGGTTTTCAATACTTAATGAATAAAATAACAAATGCCCTAGTCGCCCCTATAATTTTTAAAAGATCCCCTCGGTTTCCCTGGTCTTCCATCATCAGATCCTGATTTCCTTATCATGGGACCATTTTGAGACTATCTCCTTTCTAACAAAAAAAGAATTTTCAAAATCGGTTCATAAACAACAGAGATATCGGCGAACAAACATAAAAAAAACATATATACGGTCGAATCCTTTTTTTGAAGTCGGTTAAAAAAGAGTAATCTATGGAGTTTCTTGCTCGTTCTTCTCCATAGGAATCTACACCTTGGAATGAGCATATAGCTTCATCATTCATTCATCATTCATCAACAGCCTATAAATGCCCACTGCTGAGCAAAGCCTCTCTCCTCACACGGAGAAGAGCATTAATCACCACGCTTGCTCAATGCGGGTTGGCGATTTCAAACTTATAATTAGAAATTATAAGTCCAGGTTTCCTCACAATGTTTTTCCTTCACCGTTTGTCAGTGGTGTCTAAATAATCTTAGAAAGTACATATAACTCGGAAAAAGTCACATTGGTACTTGTCGTTGGTAGGTTTCGAGCCCGCACCCTCATGCATGAGAAGTGGGCGTCTTAAACCTCCGGGCCACCGCGAAGCTTCACATTTAATTTATTGTTAACGTTCAAAAGTGACTTTAAGCTCTAATTGAAATACACGATTTTGACTTTGACTTTAGACTCCGCTTAATTGTTATGTGATGTCCTATAGCCTATATTTGTTCTTAGTTATCTGTTAATAGATACTAGGGTTTTTTCCTGTGTCGTGGGTGCGTTTACAAACATACAAGTTCACATACCCATGACACACAGACCCGGAACAACAATTTGTGGATCACACAAAGAGTAGCTTCGTGCGGGAATCGAACCCGCGACACTTTGTGCAGCAGCCGTTTGTCAAGCCACCGCCAACCGAGTAGTCTTTCAATAATATCTGATAATCGAAGACATAAAGAAAGAGAGAAGAGAGGCAAACAAAAGTTACGTTTGTGTTCAAGAGGGAATCGAACCCAAGGTTTAACACGTACCACTCAAGCAACAAGGCAGTCATTTACATAACATAACATCACGCCTTTTATCCCCGGTGCACATTATGCCACTGTAGAATGTAACACCCACTTTTCACTATTTATTTTATGGGTCCCATGTAATAGGGGGTGAGCCTATTGTCATATACCGGGCACAATCAATTCCAAACTCCGTGCTACAACTGAGATTTTTTAAAAACCCATGCAGTAATATTTTGCCCGACCCGGGAATCGAACCCGAGACTCCTTAACCGGCAGGCGAACTTGCGACCACTCGGCCAACGAGGCAGTCATTTATTAGTTTTATTTTATTTTTATTCATCATGTAATTGAGTTAACAGCTTAGATTTCTCTCCAAATGACGTACAGTACCCGGCATTAAATATTGCACATCGACCTTTGGAAAGAAGACAATCCGGCGTGATACCACGGCCTCACAGAAAACCGACGTGTGTTTCACGTAGTGTCACTCGACCGACCTCTTGCCAGTATATAGCACAGACTTAGATAAATAAAAGTATCTTTTTCAAAAGCCCGATGTGCAATATTTAACGCCCGGTACTGTATTCAATTAATATATTTATTTAAATTTTATGGCTCTTGAAGTTCCTCTAATAAACGATAAATTTAATTTAGTACTGTAGTGTTAGTTAATTGCTTGTTCAACCCAGGTTTCGAACCTGTAACCTTGTATTACCACAAGTAGGTCTTACATGTTAATTAACTCAGGGCCGTATTATCGCTAAGGCAAGTGCTTAGGGCGCCAGGCCAACTGCTCAATTTTTTTAACCTGGATGAAGTCAGTGTCAGACTCTTACTGACTAAAAACCACCCTGTTCCTACTCCTGCACTTCTAGCCGGTGCCACGGTAACCTTTTACATTCTCCGCGGCTCTGTATCGGTATCAGCCCTTCCTCCTTTTGCGAAGCAGTCATGCTAGATCAGGAGGAAGTGGGGCGTATGATGCAGCGGAGCGCTGCCTCCTCACAACCCAGCCGTCGCGAACGACACTCCGGGCGTCGGGGATCGTAGGACGATCTCCGGCCACCGTAAGCACAGGCCTGCGGACGGCGAGCATGGGTAGCTCGCCGCCCGACCAGAATCATTACCAATACGGCTGATGCTGATATAGAGTCGCGGAGAATTTAACGGGTTACCGGGACTCCCGCTCGAAGTGCAGGAGTAGGAACGGGGTGGTTTTTAGACAGTAACAGTCTGATACTCCCTCCCGCCTCACCCAGGCGGGAGCAGTCATTCGATGATTTTACCCCTTAACAAAAAAAAGCCTTTTAAAGCCCAATCTGTGGTGGTCTGATGGGTGTTTGGTCGTTCTGAGTGCCAAGCATGAATAACTACCACGATCGTAACGAAAGAGTATCAACTGCGTTCGGAGCTCTGATTAGCACCAGGCACGATGCAGCATAAATAAAATATAAAAAAGACAATCAAGGTGTGACAGTGGAAGTAATAATAACAATGAGTTGAAAAATTAAAACAGAAGAATTAGAAGAGAGACGCTGACAACATGCCTATGCTAAAAGGTAAAATTATCGAATGACTGCTCCCGCCTGGGTGAGGCGGGAGGGAGTGTCAGACTCTTACTGACTAAAAACCACCCCGTTCCTACTCCTGCACGTCGAGCCGGAGCCCCGGTTACCCGTCAGGTTCTCCGCGACATGCTAAAAGGGGTAGGGCGCTCACTAGGTTTAATAGAGGTATATCTCTGAATTAATTGGCTACTTGACATTTTTATTATAATCTTTGATAAGTGTCTGGATTCGTTGAAACAAAAGCTTTGAATTTTGAAAAACTAAAAAAAAAGGAGAAGAAAGAAAACAAAACAAGTAATTCGATTTTCATTTTATTTTCGTTTCTTTTATTTTAATACATACATTTTTTTACAAGTTTATTTACAATAATAATGATTTTTTTAAAGCTTGTCCTAAGATTTACAATACGAAAATTTTGACAAAAATTTTGGCTAAACCTCATCAAGATACTCCAAAAAGTCTTTTAAAGCTTTCCTACTTTACTATCTTTGTTATAAAGTACAAAATCGTAATAAAAAATACAGAATAACCCGTACCTAGCTGTGCTGCACAGTATTGTTAATAAGGAAAATGGACAATGAATTATAATAAAAAAATACAGAAATTTCGATACCAGAACTTAAAACTTTGCTTGAAAATAAAAAAGAAAATTATACTACATATTATCAAAATCAGTTCAATATTGTTCGAGATTAGAAGACACAGAAAATAATAGGACAAATAAAAATATGTTTTACAAATAATAGTCATCAAATAAATTATAAATAACAGTTTATACATAAATCACCTAGTACAAAAAAGTCGTATTAATTATTATATTACAAAAAATACTATTTATCTACCTACAGATAGGAAATATCACTTCGTTTCATTGTGAGGTCGAAAAAATTGTGAATAATATTACACAAAAATAAAATTATCTAGACACCACTGACAAACGGTGAAGAAAAACATAGTGAGGAAACCTGGGCTTATATTTTTTATGGGATAAGCGTTTCGGGGCCCACGAATTACTCGATTGTAAGCAATCAGCGTCGCCCATGAACACCTGGAACATCAGAGGCGTTATAAGTGCGTCACCGGCCTTTTGGGGATTAGGAATTGAAGTTTGTTAGCTATTCAGGGATTGGGGAGATTGTGGGGGTAATTCGGCCTCCCGTAACGTCACTTTCACGTCGGTTTTCTGCTCGGCCGTGGTATCACTCCGGTCGAGCCAGCCCATTCGTGCCGAAGCATGGCTTTCCCACACTCCGTATTAAGCAAGCATGGTGATTAATGCTTAAACCTTCTCTTTATGAGAAGAGGCCTCTGCTGAATAGTGGGTACTTATAAGCTTATGTGATCATAATGTTTTCGACCTCACAACTATAGTTAACTGGCACATTTATTTATTAATAATACTAAATAATAGTACAGTTTAAACAATAAATAATAATAATTATTTGGCATCAATATGTATCACTCTTTTACTTGCACTTTTATATTAACACTAGCTTCTGCCAGCGGCTTCGCCCGCGTTCCCGTGGGATAAAAAGTACCCTATGTGTTATTCCAAACCATTATCTACTCCTGTTCCAAATTTCATCCCGATCCCTTCAGCCGTTTTTGCATGAAAGAGTAACAAACACACATACACATACATATAGACTTTCGCATCTATAATATTAATAGGATATAGTTTTTTATTACAAACACGGAATCTATAATTTCTCGTATTACTTCTATCAAACACTGTTTAATGTATCAAACACAGTTTAATTTTGTTTAAATTAAAAAAGATCTACCAAAAAAAAAGGTTTGTATAACAAAATAGTTTACAAAAATTGTTGTATAAAATCTTTTTTCTGTTATATAAAACGTTTCCTATTTTCCTTTACTGATTGAATGACAGACAACACACAGCCGAAACTACCGGACCTAGGAAGCTGACACTCAGGATATATATTCCTTGGGGTACTAAGGGAGAATTTCCCAATATTCCCATGGAAAGCGTAAAACGAAAAGCATCTATTTGTCCGTACGAATTCGCTGGCAGAAAGCTTGTGTATAAAAAAAATGCAAGTTTACAAAAAGAGACCTCACACTCATCTGGAATTAACTTTACATTTATCAACTTGACTCAAAACTTTACCTATTCTCTCGATTAAAATTTTCGCATTCTTCTCCGGCAAAGAAGGTAGAATGTCTCTTATAACAATTGAGTTCTTCTTGTGGAACATATCACTCAATAAGGAACCCACAGATTTCGACGTAAATAGCTTCTGTAGAGAGTCTATAGTTCTTTTCCTAAACACACACAGATTATCCAACATCAAACTGTGATACACATTGTATTTTTTCAAAAGTCTATAGCCGTGTAAAAGTCCCGATTCATTGTCCAAAAAGATTAGAAGTCCACTGTCCATTTTCTTAGCCAGATTGTGAGCTGGCCCATCCATAATGTTCACGTTCCACTGATAGTTAAATAAGTTATTAACTATCCTATCCAAATTAGCTGTTAAATAATCAAATATGATCAAATCCGACCACTGAGCTAGTTCCAAAAACTTGTCAATCGTCTTTTTGTTCAGCTTCACGTTGATATAGGTGAAGTTCTTCATCTCAGATTTTGATTTTATATCCTTAAATCGAAGTTTGTCTATCAAAATGTGCTTGCTTTCAGTGTCATTCTCTTTCAATGACATTTTTAGTATATCATACTTATTCAAATGTCTTGTTGTCGGGCGGAAAATATCAGGAATGGATGCTGATTCTAAGCTCGGTATGTATTGTGTCAAAACTACAGCTCTATTTGATCCCCATTGTGCTGCAGCGATGTCATTAGCTACGTTTTTCCAAAGTTTATCCTTTAAATCAACTATTCTCACTACAGATGGGGCTAGATTCGTCAAATTCAGCAACCTTCCTACGTAGAAACTAAATATCTCTCCTTGGATTTGATCTGTATTTTGCCTGTATCTGACACAAGCTTGGAGACCATCTTTAAAAGTAACTAGACGGTTCTGCATCCTACCACATCCAGCCTCCATTTTAACAACCTCTGCATCATTGATATACTGTTCCCAGATCTTTGCTGATCCTTCACCATAACCTTGAGGCATGGCATCTTCAATTTGAGGTCCCCAAAATATACTGTCATATAAAACGGTTGACGCATCTGGGGTAAAGGTCTTGTTCAGTATAACCGTATGTCTATTATCACTTTTTGTATCTTTTAGTATATCTTTCATATCTTCTGTCAGTCCTTTAGGATATATATCTTTATTATACTTGTTTTCTTGTCCAGTAAAAGATACTGCGGTGAATTTATTTGTTTCAACTTTAGGTACGGTTTTCACTACAGCTATTTTATGTACGGGTGCAATTTTTGGACTTTTCGCTATACTTTCTGTATATTGTCCACTCATTATAACTATACCGATAGCTAGACCGAATATAAAACTTATAATTACACTTATAAAACAATAGGTTACACTTTCATTTCTAGTCTTTTTGTTTATATTTGTAAAATCGTTGTATAATACGTATGGGTCTCTGAAATTTATTGCCATTGCCGTTTTTTGAGAATGTATTTGTTTAATGTCTTTTAGTGTTGGTATCCTGCTTGGTACAGCTGGTGTTGGTAGGCTATCTTTGCCTTTAAGGTCCATTTTTGTATCTTTATCTTTATTATCTTTCCTTTGTTGCTAATCTTCAACTGGTGTCATTGTTTTCGGGAATTCTGTAACAAGAGTAAATTTATATTAGTTTTGAAAATATTTAATTTATAGATTTAGCCTGAAGTGACATAAAAACATATTAATATACTGTCACATTTCATAGATAAAGAACAGAGCAGGCGATTTCAATCCCATTTTAACTCTTACTAGCTTTCTTTGACAAAAGAGCCCTTGATCAGATATTTTTTTGACGTCAAACTAAAAAATACATCTAAATCTGTTCAGTAGTTTAGACATAAAAATCACAACAACTTATAATAACCATAATTACTACCTAAATACATGCCTAAATTAACCTATACACGGACAAAAAACAGACCTCAACCAAGAACCGAGACACTTTAAACAAACGATGTAACAATAGGGTCCGGGATAATTGTGGGTTTGTTACAAAACCCACCCACTGCACAGTAAAACGCCCACAGATTTAACAGTGAGTTATTTTGAGTAATCAGTCAATTAGTGGCCAGTTTTTTTTTTATTAGAGATGTGTCTGTATCAACCTTTTTTTTTATAGATTATACAAACATTTTTGTAGGTTATACAATATTTTTTTTATAAATAAAGGTTGTTATGGTATTGAACTACTGTTTAGTGTTTTTTTTTTTTTGGATTTTGTTTTGTTTTATTTTTGTGTTAGAAGCAGAGAATATTTTTGTAGTTGATAGAAATTTTTTTTGCTTGTTGAAGTGTTAAATTGTAATCATTTAGTCCATAAAAATTAGTTTTATTTTTTTTCTAATTAACTAGAAATCTTTAAACATAGGTAACTACTAATTACCCTTCCCCAATCTCCCCAATCTCCCCAATCCCTGAATCCCCAACGATCTTCAAACTCCTAATCCCCAAAAAACCGGTAACGCACTTGTAACGCCTCTGGTGTTCCAGGTGTCCATGGGCGACGCCGATTGCTTACCATCAGGTGATCCGTCTGCTAGTTTACCGGCTTATCCTATAAAAAAAACTTATAAACAGCAACAGTCAGTGTGTGACAGTTCTGGTACTAGGTTATGGACCTCCCGTATACATATCAACGCTTAGTATGCGAATTAGGGATCGCAGCAGCTTTATCAGAGGACGCTTCATTCGTTCTGTTATTCATTTACATATTTATGTCTAGTTTTTGGAGGACTTACTACTTGTATCAACGGTTAGAAATAACAATAGACGTTAAATGTATATGCCCCTTAGCCGGGTATACGATACCCACAGGAAAATTAGCGGTAGGCCACCACTATTCTTCCTGTGGGTATCGTACTAATGTATTATATTCTACTGCCACATAGTGTATAAATAAATACGTTTATTAATTAAAACAAATATAATAATAATTCTAACATATTATAAACGAAATATTACACATACCTACGTCATATTATAATATACAGAAATCACATTCTTTAGATGCAGCGATAATATATGAATGACATTGACAACCATCTTGTTTTTTTCCGCAATCAAAATGGCGGGCAATCAATATTTTTTATGACATTAACGTATTATGAAAAAACAACTTCGTATGACGCTACTGGTGGTTTTATACCACTTGAAATAAAGCTGAAATGTGGAATATTGTGGTTTTTTTTATAAACTTTATGACGGGGAAATTTAAATCTTATCTCAGTTGAAATAAAGCTGATATGAGGAACTTGATGTTGCATTTTGAGAAAAATTTTTGTGAAGATGATCGATTACGTATTTTTACAAGGAATGTATAAAAGGTTTAATAAAAAGGTAAAAAATATATTTCTTAATTCTTTTTAAATGTTTTAAGATACCAGCGTGTCAAGTTATTCCATTTGTTTATTGATTTACAATCTTATTAAGTTGTGCATTAAGATGCAAATCTATTCAAGTTCTTTGGCAATAGGGATGATGACAGGGTATGAAAATTAGAAATCTAAGTAATTAGTCCGTAAGTTAAGTAATAAAAAAATATTAGACACGTATTTTTTATTTTGTTGTATAATAAAACAATACTTACATAAAACGAATCAAAGTTTAGGAGTGGGGGCTAAAACGTCATTTTTACGTATAAAATGTACTAAAAAGTGACGTCACGCAAAATTTCAAATCAATATATCGTCGAAAGTATTGGTTTCCGTAAGAAAATAAAAAATACGTGTGTAATGATTTAAAATATTCTACCAGACGGACATTAAAATAAAAATTAGTTATCTACCCTATTAAGAATAGCATCATGTTAGTACGTACTATTTACATTTATAATTTCATAAAAGCCTTTGCGCTTTTTTAAATGTACTGTTAACGTGTAAAAGTATTAATTTTAGCCTTTTAATGTCAATTATCATCAAACTTAAATAACTCGACTGACTGACTGACTGACTGATTGTCTCAAATGCAAGGGCAAAGGGTCTCGGGTCGGGTAAAGTATTACTGGGTTTTTTAAGAAAACTCAGTAGTAGCACGGAGTCTGGAATTGTGCCCGGTATATGGCAATAGGCTTACCCCCTATTACATGAAACTCATAACATAAATACTGAAAAGTGGGTGTTACATTGTACAGTGGCATTAAGTGCCGTAATTTGCACCTCTGCCTATCCTTTCGGGGATAAAAGGCGTGATGTGATGTTACGTTTTAAAAACATACTATAAAAAAATTACATATAACCTAAAAAACTTCAAATTTGACGTATGTCACTGTCACATATCAAGTAAATGTCAAATTGAGCGGTAATAAACCAATATGGATGTTTTCGTTCGAAATCGGTATTAAGGCAACGAGTCATTCATTTTGTAGCTTTCGTTGTTTTTTTTTTATTATTCTTTTACAAATTTTAGTGTTGTCGCAGCGATGTGTTTAACAAAATTCTTACAATCGGGCGGGAAGAAAAAATGGTGAACGGGTATGTTAAGCGTAATTTCGTTTTTAAGTTTTCGGGTTCTGTATAGTTAAAATGTTATTTATTATGTTTTCGTTTATTCACGTAACTGTTTGAGGAACTCGACTAGTTTCAAGCCGTGCTAGAGGCTCATATTTATGAGCAGCATTCCGCGACCCGCGATGCTGCTCATAAATATGAGCGCTGCTACTGGCTACTCGAGGCCTAAAACGCCCTCTACCGTGATGCCCAAGTCGAGTTCCTCGTCCGTTACATGAGTAGGTAAGCCGAAAAAACATAATATGTAATGAATTTAGTATGTCTCAAGAAAGTTTTAATATAAACATAGTTAAAATATTATTATTGATTTTTCTAATTACATAATTTTAATATTATCTAGTATACTGCCTTGTTAGTCGACTGGTTGAAGTGTTACTGCCGAGCAACAGGACTTGGGTGCCATTCCTGCCACGCACTATGCTTAATTGACGAAAAATTCAACTGTGGGCTAAACACTATCACTACATAGATAGTACAAAACAAAGTCGCTATCCGCCGTCTGTCTGTCCCTATGTATGCTTAGATCTTCAAAACTACGCAACGGATTTTGATGCGGTTTTTTTTAATAGATAGAGTGATTCTTAAGGAAGGTTTATATGTATAATACATGCGTATTGCACCCGTTCGAAGTCAGGGCGGGTCGCTATTGTTAATAATTGTAATACCGAATAGTTATAAGGAATACATAAATATTTTTAACCAACTAGAATAACATTGACTGACATTTAACTGGAGCGGTGGCTGGGCAACTGGCTGCCGCGCAACGTGTCCCGGGTTCGTTTCAGCACGGAACAACTCTTTGTGTGATCCACAGATTGTTGTTCCGGGTCTGTGTGTCATGTGTATGTGAACTTGTATGTTTGTAACACTAGGATTTTCTCCTGTGTCGTGTGTGTACCACGACACAGGAGAAAATCCTAGACACGACACAGGAGAACAGAAAGTGTTGGGCAATGTCGCGGAAAACCTACCGGGTAACCGGGGCTCCGGCTCGACGTGCAGGAGAAGGAACGGGGTGGTTTTTAGTCAGTAAGAATCTGACACTCCCCGCCTCACGTAGGCGGGAGCAGTAACTCGATGATTTTCTCCCCTTAAAAAAAATCGTGGGGCAATGTTTAAAAAAAATGCTAACCAAAAAAAAACTTTTACATGACTAAAAACACATGTCACTAAAATCTACCCCGTAAAACAGTAACTCGAAACACCAATTTCCAAAATATCAACTCCAACCACTAAAATTAAAAAACGCGACATCCTAACTCAACAAAAAACTCAAACAAGGTGTAACAAATTATATTAAACCAAACTAACTATAATAGGGGGATCCCTAATTCCGGCCGGCCGTAAAAAGAGACCAAAAAAATGACCACCGCTGGTCGCTTGCCCACAAAAAAGCTTGTTTAGCGTGGTAAGGACGACCGCACGACATGGTATACTTTACATTCAACCTCTATATTGGATTCACAACCTTATAACTTAAAATTAAGGTTGATATTGTAATAGAGTTTTTTGATAAATTAGTATACCTTCATCTGCTGTCGCCCGTCTATGCATATGGATCGTATATTTGACTTAAGTTTCCGATTCCCGCTGATTTCGGAATGTCATTTTGGTCTATGCTCGCCTCGCCTCGTTTCGAGTTAGCTACTGAGCGGTGTCGAATTCGATTTAGTAATTTTTTGGTGATTAGAATTTTTGTGTTTTAATGTACATATGTTAGTCGTGTTTAGGTTAGAAGAGAGAGCTCCAATAGGCACTCATACCTTTGTCCCATAATATACAGAA